AGATATTTGTTTCTTGGATCTTAATATGTATTTACCTTTTAAAAATGAAAACAGCTTGAATGTATCTTCCTTGCTTTTTAAGCCTACATCTCTCAAACTGTGCTTGTGCAATGCCTTTGAAACTATGCTGCTTAAGCAAAAGGAATTGCATAAGCATTGTCTGAGAAAGGTAGTTTTAACAAGAAATATTTTAGGATTATTATAACCAAGAATAGATTGTAAACATGAATGATTGCTGTTTCCATTCAGAAGGATATAATTTTTTTTCTTTTTTCTTTTATGTAAAGGAAGAAAAGTCATTATCAAATACACTGATGCAACCATGAATGAATGAAGCACTGATTGGTTTTCACCCATTCATCTTAAACTTCATCCTTTATTTATAAGATCTTGTTTACACAAGAAAATTAACTACTTCATCTATTTCTCATCTCACTCATAGTACCATGTGATCCATGAGGAGATATGCAACTAATGCTTTGTAAAATTAAACCAAAAGTAGTGAACACCACAGAACTTATGTATAGCTTTGTTAAGCCTATTGGCCTCAAACCATATCTAGTTCTGTGCAAATGTACATGGACATGCACATGTGAATGCATATTTCATTCAACTCAATACTAAAAAACCAGAATGCATGTTAACTGAAATTCTGAAAGCACTATTAATTTACATGGGTAGTTATCATGTAACAAGTTACACGTGCAATTAAAATGTTAACACTTGTATATCTCATAAAATAATCCAGGTATTTTAAATGTATACATATATTCTGCTCTGCCATCTATCATCCAGAAAAAATAAGACTTTGCTATGTTGTATTATATTTAGCTGAAGTTAGCTTCTCCCTGATAGCACAAGCACTGATATCCTCTCTTAAGCAGCTGGTACATAAAACAGATGTCTAGTTAGAACACTATTTGCCTTCTTAGAATTGGTTGTAAACCGTAGGCTTTAATTTTAATTGAGATTAAAGTATATTGAATTCTCTGGATTTCTTCATCTTGTACCAAAATTAAGGAAGCCATGACAGAACCTCTGTCAGTATGTTAGAAATAAAATCAAATATACCTTAGTTGGTTTAATTACATTGCTAGGTCATATTTAATTGTGCCCATCCAATGAGAGAAAAGCATCAGCCAATAGTACATATTTCACTCTTATTTTCTCCCTGTTTTTCCCCCAAATCTGCTTTCCCTCATCTGCTCTGGAGAAGATCTTGGGGAGCACATGGGCATGCAGGCGAAAACAACATCATTAAATCGTTTTCATACAACACTGCACATGATCTACTGAAACCAAGGAATATTTAACTGGGAATCCAATAAATGTCCTAAAATAAATTACTGAATACAGCAGAGCTATCAAGGCCAATGCTTTTTCAAATATTTATTAAGAATCCATTAAAGATTCCTTTGTTGCACAATAACAAAGCAGTTCATACTGCCCTCATGCAGTTGGCACTTAAAAGTGCCTAGTTCTAACAACATAGAAATATCCATGAAAATAATATGAAAGATTAAACATATTCAATTAATAACAGTTCAAATTACAAAAATAGCCAAAATAAAACTTGGGAGTGTGTCACTATGCTCCCCTGGCCTATTCCATTGTTCACACTACAAACACACAACCTACTAACAGAAACTATCTTTGTCAAATAATTTAAAATCAAGGCTGGAAAATCAAACATACACCCCAAACCCTATGCTATAATTTCCTGAAGTCAGAAATACTTCTCTTTGCTAGTTCTGTAGAGTTGACTCTTTATTCTCCTTTTACTATGACTGTACTTTCAAAACCAATTAAATGTGGAGAAGAACAAAAGCAGAAAGGGATTTAACAAGGTGAAAATTGTCTTTAATAACTTTAGGAATGCCAAATCATGTTCCAAGACTTTAAAAAAAAATCCAGACTTCTTAAAAGAAAGAGGAGGAAGAGGGAGAAAGAGGGAAGGAAGGAAAAAGGGTCAGGTTGTCCTAACATTTACTTTTATATACAGCATTATCTTTTTCTGTTTGCTCTTGAAAATGTAGCATGTCTTCAGCAATATAGACTTTTACTTTTTTAGTTGTAAGATGATACCTGTTCAACTGAAAGAGGAATTTTATAAACATTTGAGCAAACCAGCTTTCATATATAGTAACATATCCTACTTGAAATTTAGAACCTACACTTCGGATCCAAAATTGTATTCAGCGATATTCTTCTCTAAAAAGAGTATTTGTCCCCAACCTGATGTCTTGCAGATATGTTGGACCAGAAATCCATCATTTGTATACCAAGCTTGGGATTTGATCCAACTCAACTGAAGAACATCAGATGTTTGCACAAGATGTAGGTGGAAACTAGTCAACTTTCACCAATTCCTCATTCATCTCTCAGCTACCTGAAAATATGGCCTAGAGAACTGAAGGTTCTCTTGAGAAAGCATGGGAAGTACTTCTTGCAAAAGAGATAAAAGGAATTAGGAATTACTGAAAATTGCCACTGCATCATCTTCCTCCCTCTGGAAGATTCCACTACTTCCTAGTTACCTCCATAAACAGTGTACCAGTCCAAAAGGTAAATAGATCCCTTATATTTTATCATCTTGCAGATCTGCAATGGACCAAATAGAAGTATTTATTTTGCATGGGATTTGAATTAATTAATGAGAAAACTTTAGCCACAATGGGTATATGCATTTCGTGAGCAGTTACAAGTCCTGAAAACTAGGTACGTTACAGTAGAACATCCAATATAACCGCAAACATTTTCTTACAGCTTACAGCTGGATGCTTGTAAAGAAACAGAAAGAGACAGTGCACAGTCAGTTAGCAGTTTTAGAAATGGTTGCAAATTTTAGGCCATTGTGTATACTGCATACAATGACCAATGCACTCTGCGCATTGTGACCTAATTTAAGTCTTGGAAGCCGACTGAAAATTTTGTTGCCGTTTCAAAAAACACAAAAACTATTAATGTTCTGGAATATATTAAACATGCAGATACTTCATCATGAACATTTAATCGATTCCCTACAAATAACTGCACTTAATATGACCATCAATCTATTATTTCTTCAAATATAATCTTGCTGTTCTAGATTAGACCTGAAAACATTTGTCAAGTTTTATGTTTTTCATTATGAACCCACAGTTCAGCATGTGTATTCCCTGTAGGTAAGCACAAATATATTCATGAACACAGGTGAACCATATATAGAACTACAGAAAGAAGGCTGCTAAAAATATTAAGTCACTTTGCATGAAATCTCAGAAGAACATACTTCAGTTCAAACCTGCAAGCATTTTTTTCTTTACCTTTCAGAATAAAGAAAAGCAATTAAAAAGAGGATATATTTATTGTTTTAAAATTACTTGGAGAAGCGCATGATCAAGTTTTAAAGCTTTCACTTTAAGTAAATAAAGATAAAATAGTGTTGCTTTGTACTGTATGCTAGAAAGGAAACTATACTGGCATGAATTCCAAAGTTATACTTCCTTCTGGCTCTAGTCTTACCTCATTATACATTAGCATCCACTTCCAAAAAGTCCTCTGGAGTGCACAGAGGTGCAAGTGTAGTACCTGTCTGCAACTCTTAAAGCAGTTGCATATGTTCCTGGGATTGCACAGCTACTCTGTAAACTGGGAAGATACACGGCTGCTTTAAAGAGTTGCAGAAAGATGCTACATTCTTATTCAGACCTGCTTCAAAACATCTGATGCACCATACAGCCCTTCTATATATATCTATAAATTTAATAAACATCAGTATTTTATAGCAGATAAGTTTCCTTTTACTCATTCATTCATTCAATTTGTATGGCCACCCAACTCACTAAATGACTCTGGGCGGCAAGCAAAATTTAAAAAATAAAAACAATTACAATAATACAAAAATTAAAATACATAGCTGTGAATAAATCACACATCATAATTGCTAAATTAACCAAGAAATGGGTCCCTGCACATTTTCCTTTAAATATTTGGGTATTAAGCTGCACTATAGTTTCATGAAAATATGATTTATCTAAATGATTTTATTCACCTTTAAAGATATCTCACATTGCTTTCTCAAGCACAGTCACGCACACTGCCACTAATTTTCAGTGCAGCAGGCATCCCCCCTTTCTTATATATTAGAAAGCTTGTAATGAGCATGTGTATAATTCTTACCTTCTGTAAGACAAACAACTAGCATATAATAACACTGTTCAATATAATGGAACAGAAAGTGCTGATGATTTCTGATAGCAAGAACTGCGAATTTCCATCATACTAGAAATCTACTGCTGGTCAGAGTAGGTAGTTTGACAGTATAGTATGTACTCAGATATATATATTATTGTATATATTATTGGTTATTATATAAATATATAAAGAAATAAAAGAAATAAACATAGCCGCAAGTTGTAGAAGTCATTGCCTATACTTGGTCTTTAGCAGCTGACTACTGTTACAGTGCAAAAATATACTGACTAAATTCATGTTAGGTTCACTCTATTTCATTCATTTTTCCTGTCAGTCCTGGGGCTTTGATTTCTAGAACTGTATTAGAACTTGGTTTACCAACAAATTTAACTCCATTAGGAATAGCAAAATATCTCCAACATAGTGAGTTATACTTTATAGGACGTCAATGGAGCCCAGATGTACAGTATGTTTTGTTTTTAAAAGATGTAAAAAAAAAAAAAAAAAGTTGGAAGACCTGAACACTTTTCAGTGTTTTTAGAGGTGTCTAACAATATAAATTTGATACTATGTATACATCCAATAGAGATGTATCAGGCAGGCAGGCATTAGTGACAAATTTCAGTAAATATAGGGAAGCTCAGAAGTATTACTTTGATCTATACTCCAGGGCAAATTATGTGATCTAACTTAAAATGAAAATAGCTGTTTAGTAAAAGGGGAAAAGGAGGGCTTGGTTAAGACTTATTTCATCAATTCTCTTCTCCTCTTATAGGATCCATCAGCACCGTTCTGTTCTTGAAGAAGCAGTGAACTGGGCTTACCTGCTGTGTCTGGTACCTCTGCTGGGCCTGGGAGAGATACTGGGCCTGAGGAGGCAGATGCTGAGGTTGTGGTTGCTGGTTGTAATATGGCTGTTGGCAGTAACCAGTTACACTTTGTGGACCATACTGAGATGGCATCTGTTAAGGGAAAAAAGCCAATACAGTTATGAATTGAGGACAAAAATCTATGTGTTCAACTCCTAAAGATCATAAACACAATACCAAATGCCGTGGTAAGAAGTCTCTCTCAACAGAAAGGAGTTAATTCTAAACTCAAAGAAATAATGCAATTTGCTAAAACCATAACTCTATTTTCAAGATATTCTATCAAGGGAAGCATACAGCAGTTCTTTTCTACAACACTGGTTTTACTGAATAATTTCTTTTCACATTCTCTGAAACAACCAAAGAAACCATTATCAATTATGTTTGTTCACTGAACCTATGCTCAAAAACAGCAAAAGGTTTTTTATAGAATACCCACAGCTTGCTAGTCAGTAATACTTACTAGAGAAGTGATCAGAATAATTCTATTTACACCTTTCAATTTTCTACCTAAGGTTTGTGCTGCATGAATCATCCCATATTTCAAGATATTACAGAAAGGAAAATTGGAACATAGGTGTATGTGCATACCAGATTTCAGAAAAATCAATTTCAACAAATTTTAGAGAAGTACTATGTGGGATCCCATAGTATCCTCAGACCAAAGGGCACACAAGAGAGTTAAGAACTTTTGAAAAATAAGTTACTTGAAGTATACTTGCAAACCATTCCAATTACAAAAGGCAGTAGCTATAATTGTAGAAAGAGACTCAGAAAGGCTAAAGCACAAAGCCAACCTAGGCTTGCAAGAAAAGCTACAAGCAACAAAAAGGAAAACTGTGTTGAAATGGACCTAAGCAGAAGTTAAGTAAAGGGAGAGTTAGGGAGCATCTGGCTAATATGAACAAGTTGAAGTTGCTGGGACCAGATAATTATAACTGAATGCCTTGAAGGAGGAGATCATCTCAGAGAATCTTTCTACCATCTTTGAAAAATCATGGGGAACATTTATAGTGTCAGAGGACTGGAGATGGTGAAATATTGTTCTTCACTTCAAAAGGGAGTGAAGAAGATCCAGACTGCTTGATGTCAATAGACAAAACTCTGAATCAGCTTATTAAACTGTCAATTTAAATGCACTGAGAAAAGAATGCATCACTTGATATGAGTCAGAATAGGCTTATTAATAATAAGCCAAATTAACCTGATCACCCTGTTTGATAGTGTAGTAGTTTAGTCAATCATAGGAATGTGATAAATATAACGTACCTTGAGTTCTGCAAATCATGCCAAAAAAAATTCCCTTGATATTCTAGTAGAAAAGTTATCAAATGTGGGATGATCTGTGCTACCATTAGATGGATACAAACCTGATTGAACAATCATTCAATGACCATACACCAATGGCTCCAAAATCAAGTTAGAAGAAAGTGTTAAGTGGTATAACATAGAGGACTGTGCTATTCAACATATCTATAAATTACTTGAAGGCTGGAAAATATTATCATCATCTGTAGATAACACAAAGATAAAGGTGATAGCAAATGCCTTAGAAGACAGTATCAAGATTCAGGAGGATTTGACAAAGGGCAGAAACCAGTAGGATGAATTTTAGCAGGGAGAAAAGTAAAGTCCTTCATTTGGGAAGGAAAAAAGCAGATGGGACAGAGGCAAAAGGATAGGCAAAAGGAAGATGGAACAGAGCATAAGTGGCAGCAGTACAACTGAAAAAGATGTGGATGTCTCTTGGTGGATCACAAACTGAACATGAGCCAACAGTGTGTTGAAGCTGAAAAAAAGGAAATACAATTCTAGGTTGTATCAACAGAAATCTAGCGGATGGATGGATGGATGGATGGATGGATGGATGGATGGATGGATGTTCATCTCTCTTTTACACTGGACACACCACACCAAGAATACTGCATCCAATTCTGGGCACTACATTTTAGGAGTGACACTGACAAACTGGAGCATATCCAGAAGAGAGCAACCAAAATGATAAGAAGCTTGAAGGGGGGGGGGGTAAGAGGCAACAGGTATATTTAGCTTGAAGAAGAAGGGGGGCAGGGGGACAGAAACATGAAAGCTATTTTCAAAAAATGGAATAGTTGTCATGTAGAAAATTGGGTAAACTTTTCAGTGCTGTTATTAAAGATAAGCCAAGAAACAAAGAGTTTAAATCACACAAAAGCAGATTTAAACTGGAGATCAGGAAGAATTTCCTAAAAGTAAGAACCATTCAACAAAGCCTCCAGAGGTGGTAAACTCTCCTGTGCTGGAAGAATTTAAACAGTAAATTAGAGGTATGCTATCTATCAGGGATTTGGTAATAGTGGATTTCTTCACTAGGCAGGATATCGGATTAGATGATTTCTAAGATTCCTTCCAAAGTTTACACTTCACAATTCTATAATCAGGTGATTATACAATCCTATAAGTTAGTAAGTTTGTAATATTTAGTCAAAAAAATGGACAAATTGCCATTCCTTCAACTGAATAAAAGGAGCTAATTCTTAAAAACAGTCACTGACAACAACTTCATTGTATTAGCAGACTTCTAGGGCTGCTTCCCAACCACAAAATCAGCTTTATTTAACATACTAAGCCCAGATTTCCTCAACAGCACTGAAGCAAATGCAGAGGCCTTGTTTAGGGGATTGGAATGCTAAAGTAGGAAGTCAAGGAGTAATCGGAATAACAGGCAAGTTTGGCCTTGGAGTACAAAATGAAGCAGGGCAAAGGCTAATAGAGTTCTGT